CTCTGCTACTATCAGTACTGATATCAGCAGATGGATTTCCTAGCTAAAACAGTAGAGAGTGGTCTACTGGCTACCATCTACTGGCTGTTTTCAGAATGACAGGGAGATCTCCATGTCATGCTGAACCTCCAGATTGCTTTACCTGACGACCATAATGTAATCAGTTCTGGGTATCTGGCAAAGCTCGGCACAAATCACAATTGGCAGTGATCTGTCCAGACACTGTGGGACTCCCTCAGACTGATGGCAGCTAGATAATCAACATGGCTGTGTGTGACGCTCTCAGCTGTTGTAATGTCAAAGGATTTAAAGAGCTGTATACAGGGCTCAAAATGAGCACTGCATACAGCTCATTAGTCAGTCTGGGTCCACTAAATGTGGCCCCAGCTCACAGACAGGAGCCAAAGGTACTTAAATAAATATACAAATAGCTCTATGCACTTAATATGGCCCCAGTTGACATAGGGGCGCACCAGATATTGATTGATATGTTGGACTCCCTGGTGTGAGCAGGGATATAACACTAACAACAAAATTATGTAGGACATGCTTAGTATGCTTTGTAGGACATAATGGCTTAATGTCATTAAGAGGTTAAAGAATTGTCCTTTCTCTCATAACATTTATGCTGTTATATAAATACATTTGTTCAATAAAAGTACACTGTATTTTAATTAGTTTTATTCCCAATATGATATTTATTTTAACGTTTTACTGAAAGTATACCAGGTAGAGAATATAAAAAAGATGTGAAGGAAGGGGTGAGAGAACAAGAGCAAAAAAAGCAAAACAACAAAACAAACAAAAAAACCATAAACCAAACAAATTAATTTCAAACAAAATAATATAAGCCAATGGTTACAAGTATTTAACACTATATATCAAAAAGGTACATTTTACTGGATTATGGTCACAGGCGTGAACACGGGGTGTGCTGGGTGTGCCTGGCACACCCTAATCCCCGCGGCACGCCTATAGAGTGAGACCGGCAGGGGATATCTCAGGATCTGCCCTGTCGGCTCATGCAGAGCCGGCGCTATCCGAGTGCCGGCTCTGCTCTCAGCCTCCATCCCCACTGCAGCATGGAGGGAGGCAGGAGAGGACCCGGGGAGCTCAACCAGCAGCTCTGACGGATTCCTCTCGTGAGATCTGAGCGTTGCCGCGGCAATGCTCAGATCTCGCGAGAGTGAACTTTATCCCCACAGGGGCTAGAGTTCACTCTCCACTGGACCACCAGGGATGGCAGCAGGAACAAGAATCCTCCCTCCCTACATAAGGTAAGAAGGGAGGGGGGATATTAAGTAATGTACCCCCACCTCCACCCCCACAATCACACACATACAGCACACACACACATACAGCACACACACCCACACACACAGCACCCACACAGACACACAGCACCCACACAGACACACAGCACCCACACACACACAGCACACACACATACAGCACCCACACACACACAGCACCCACACACACACAGCACCCCCACACACACAGCACACACACATACAGCACCCACGCACACACACAGCACACTCACACACATACAGCACACACGCACACACACACACACAGCACACACATACAGTACCTTCACACATACAGCACCCACATACAGCACCCACACACAGCACACACACACACACATGCAGCACCCACACACACACAGCACACACACACATACAGCACCCACACACACACCACACACACATAGAGCACCCTCACACACATACACCACACACACACAGCACACACATACATACAGCGCACACACATACAGCACCTTCACACATACAGCACACACATACAGTGCACACACACATACAGCGCACACATACAGCACCCTAACACACATCCTGCACACACACACATACAGCACCCACACACATACAGCACCCTCACACATACAGCACCCTCACACACATACAGCACACACATACAACACATACAGCACACACACAGCACACACATACAGCACCTTCTCACATACAGCACCCACACACAGCACACACATACACCACCCACACACACACACACCCACACACACATACAGCACCACACACATACAGCACACACACACATACAGCACTCACACACAGCACACACACACATACAGCACACACACACACACACACACAGCACACACATAGAGCACCTTCACACATACAGCACCCACACACACACAGCACACACATACAGCACCCACACACACACAGCACCCACACACATACAGCACCCTCAAACACACAGCACCCTCTCACACACAGCACAGAAACAGCACCCTCACAAACACACACACAGCACCCTCACACACACAGCACACTAACAAGACCCTAACAAACACACACACACACAAACGCCCTCACACACACACAGCACACAAACAGAACCCAGATATTGATTGATATGTTGGACTCCCTGGTGTGAGCAGGGATATAACCCTAACAACAAAATTATGTAGGACATGCTTAGTATGCTTTGTAGACATAATGGCTTAATGTCCTTAAGAGGTTAAAGAATTGTCCTTTCTCTCATAACATTTATGCTGTTATATAAATACATTTGTTCAATAAAAGTACACTGTATTTTAATTAGTTTTATTCCCAATATGATATTTATTTTAACGGTTTACTGAACGTATACCAGGTAGAGAATATAAAAAAGTTGTGAAGGAAGGGGTGAGAGAACAAGAGCAAAAAAAGCAAAACAACAAAACAAACAAAAAAAACATAAACCAAACAAATTAATTTCAAACAAAATAAGCCAATGGTTACAAGTATTTAACACTATATATCAAAAAGGTACATTTTACTGGATTATGATCATAGGCGTGCACACGAGGTGTGCTGGGTGTGCCTGGCACACCCTAATCCCCGCGGCACGCCTATGGAGTGAGACTGGCAGGGAAGATCTCAGGATCTCCCCTGTCGGCTCATGCAGAGCCGGCGCTATCCGAGCGCCGGCTCTGCTCTCAGCCTCCCTCCCCATTGCAGCATGGAGGGAGGCAGGAGAGGACCTGGGGAGCTCAACCAGCAGCTCCAACGGATTCCTCTCGCAAGATCTGAGCGTTGCCGTGGCAATGCTCAGATCTCGCGAGAGTGAACTTTATCCCCACAGGGGCTAGAGTTCACTCTCCACTGGACCACCAGGGATGGCAGCAGGAACAAGAATCCTCCCTCCCTACATAAGGTAAGAAGGGAGGGGGGATATTAAGTAATGTACCCCCACCTCCACCCCCCACAATCACACACACACATACAGCTCACACACACATACAGCACAAACACCCACACACACAGCACCCACACAGACACACAGCACCCACACACACACAGCACACACACATACAGCACCCCCACACACACAGCACACTCACACACATACAGCACACACACACACACACAGCACACACATAGAGCACCTTCACACATACAGCACCCACATACAGCACCCACACACAGCACACACACACATACAGCACCCACACACAAACACCCACAGCACCCACACACATACAGCACACACATACAGCCCACACATACAGCACACACACACATACAGCACCCACACACACACAGCACACTCAAACACATACAGCACACCCACATACAGCACCCACACACAGCACACACACACACACACATACAGCACCCTCACACACACAGCACACACACACATACAGCACACACACGCACACACACACACATAGAGCACCCTCACACACATACACCACACACACAGCACACACATACATACAGCGCACACACATACAGCACCTTCACACATACAGCACACGCATACAGTGCACACATCCAGCACCCTAACACACATCCAGCACACACACACATAAAGCACCCACACACATACAGCACCCACACACTTGCAGCACCCTCACACACATACAGCACACACATACAACACACACACATACAGCACACACACAGCACACACATACAGCACCTTCTCACATACAGCACCCACACACACAGCACACACACACATACAGCACACACACACAGCACACACACACATACAGCACACACACACATACAGCACACACACACATACAGCACACACACACACACACACATAGAGCACCCTCACACACATACACCACACACACAGCACACACATACATACAGCGCACACACATACAGCACCTTCACACATACAGCACACACATACAGTGCACACATCCAGCACCCTAACACACATCCAGCACACACACAAATACAGCACCCACACACATACAGCACCCTCACACACATACAGCACACACACACACACACACACACACATAGAGCACCCTCACACACATACACCACACACACAGCACCCACATACATACAGCGCACACACATACAGCACCTTCACACATACAGAACACACATACAGTGCACACATCCAGCACCCTAACACACATCCAGCACACACACACATACAGCACCCTCACACACATACAGCACACACATACAACACACACACACATACAGCACACACAGCACACACATACAGCACCTTCTCACATACAGCACCCACACACACACAGCACCCACACACACACAGCACCCACACACACACAGCACCCACACACACACATACAGCACCCACACACACACATACAGCACCCTCACACACATACAGCACACACACACATACAGCACACACACACAGCACACACATACAGCACCTTCACACGTACAGCACCCACACACGTACAGCACCCACACACATACAGCACCCTAAAACACACAGCACCCTCTCACACCCAGCACAGAAACAGCACCCTCACAAACACACACACAGCACCCTCACAAGACCCTAACAAACACACACACACAAACGCCCTCACACACACATAGCACACAAACAGAACCCTCACACACATCACACTTACAGCACCCTCACACACAGCACCCTTACTCACACACACACACACACACAACACCCTTACACACACAACACCCTCAAACCACCCTCACAGAGCACACACACACACACACACAGCAGTGTATGTATGTGTGTGTGTATATATATATATGTATATATATATATATGTGTGTATGTATATATATATATATATATATATATACACACATACATATACACGCGGCGTGTGTTAGTGCTTTAGGGTGCACACCCTAATGCAATAGGCTGCGCACGCCTATGATCATGATGTCAGTACTATGAATATACACCATAAAAATAAATGTGACATTAGAAACGGAATGTGGAGAGCATACATCTGGGAATAAGGAAACCACCTTTCTCTTTACGGTACAACTTGTGGGACAAATTGGCCAGGGGCCACAAAAAGCAGATTAATATGAACATATCTACTAAAGTTCTTAGTCTAAAAACACTAGATGTCAATATACTAAGCGGAGAATAAACCTTACCTTTTAAGCTTCATTTAAATACTAGATACAGCACAGTATACCCACGCTGTACCGTGCCACAAACTAAAATAACTTGATTTCTTTTAACCTTTATTCAGTAATCATTTAAATCTACCTCATTTTTCAATAAGATCACATCCTAAACTAACTCTAAAAACACAATATATATGGTATATATGACTCAAAAAGAGTTTGTGAAAAGTTAAAGTTTACAAACATTGGCTGTATGAGATGATCAAGTACACAGGTTACAGATCGTTTACACTATATTTAGATACATTGTGTATTTGTAGTTCAAGATAATCACTTCGTCTATATTCCATACTCTAGTGCAACGTTTTTTCTAGAGGAGTGGAACCTGCTAAAACAGTAAAAGAGATACTTACTATAAATACATAAATGTGACCTTGAAAAAAGATGACTAAACTATATCCAGGTGTCCACTTACTGTTATTTGAGAAACAAAAACACACGTTAAAATGTTACCCTTTCGCTTTGATGGCTGAATAATCCACCTGAATTTATTGCCTAGTTTTGAGGACCTTTTTTTTTGTTTGCGTATTACTGTGGATTACCTTCTAGCAAAAGTACCAAATTTAGAGTTTACCTTGGAGTGACTGCCACACTGTATTTACTCATCCACTTACTATAGGAAATGAAGTGTCAGTAGTATGCAATTTAAAACAAATATATTTTGTCTTGTTAATAACATAAAATACACTATTTAGATATTCCCCTTGTTAAAAGTATGCTTGTGTTTAATTCTGCATGTTTTGGAGGGGGGGTGGGGGGGGGTTAATCTAAAAACAGAGTACAAAAGTTGCAGATCTGTTGTCTGCAGCCTTTGCAAGCTCTCCCCTCTTTCTACTGCACAGACTTTCAGAAACTTCTCCATGGACCTGACTGACAGCCCAGGAGGTGTTTCTAACCTCCAATTATAAAAGTGATGATTTTTATGGAAAATGGCTCTTTTATAATCAGCCATAAATATGACAGAATCCTGCCCAATAAAGCATTTCAGCAAGCCAATGTGCTTTAAGTGTGTAAAGTGACCCTTTAAACTGAAAAGGTCATTTGTGAAATGGACATTTACATGGTGGCTCCACAGAGGAGCTAAGAAAGATTACCATGTTACCTGAAGCTCTGTTTCTCAAAGTTTAATTTCTTCCTTTCTTGGCACATCTGCAAGGAGCCATGCCACTTGTCTACTCTTGGGTATCCATATACACTCATGCCATGGGCATCTTCTGTGAATCAAGTGATAAGGAACATGCTCCCATCAACCACTGCAATCTACTTTACATGGGATATAGCAAAACGTGACAGCAAAAGCTGCATGAAGCTCCACCTGTATCTTGACAAAAAGTATTTCCAATAAAAAAAGTTTCTACTTTTTTTTATATGTGTGTAACTCCTGTGGGGAGGGGGGTAACACCTATTTAAATTTAAATACAAAAACACAGAGTAAATCAGGAGTGTGAAGAGGGAGTAAATGCCAGGTATACCCAGTGTACTAAAAGTTTAGAACAAAGAAAATCATTTGAAAATAAAGATTCAAAACACAGGGCTATCCCAACAAGGTCTTAAAAGGGGCTTGTCAAAGAGCCATCTCCATGGAGGATAGGCCCACATGCCTACGAACCTCAAGAACAGAATTCACCCAAAATGTCACTGACTCAGGGGCATACCTAGAGCATTTGGAACCGGGGGCAGGTCCTATTTTTGGCACACCTCCCCTCCCCCCCACACACACACTTTAAAATGTAAAAAACAATCAAAATTTTTGTTAATGTATTTATCACTGAGCAGTGTTTGTGTGTTTGAATGTTAGCATGTTTTTGTATGGAGTATGTATGATTGAATACAGCGGTGTGTTTGTATGTAGTGTTGGCGTTTGAATGCAAGCATTTATTTGTGTGTAGTGTGGGTTTCTAATGCAGTGGTGTGGTTATATATAATGGTGGGGTTTGGATGTCCTTCACTGTTTAGACACATATTTGGGTCTCCAGAGGAAGAAAGGAGAATTTGGAGCTTCTCGATAGTGGGCATTGATAGATTTCCCACCCACCCCCATTATCGTTAACAATCACTTAATTGTTTTACAACAATGGTGGTGGCATTAGTATAAGAGTTTGAGTTTTTAACTAGAATCTAATAAAAGTTAAGTTTTTTCTTTGTTCTAAACTTTCAGTACACTGGGTATACCTGGCATTTACTCCCTAGTCACACTCCTGATTAACTCTGTATTTTTGTATCTACTTTTTTCTGATTTCAATAGAATTTCAACACGCACTCCCTTTAAAAAGATCATATTGTTATGAAAAACTCAAAACTCACAGTGCATTCAGATTTAGTTTTCCTAGGCACATTGCACTGCAAATGAGGCTTGTGGTCATCGGTAAGGATGCCAAAATGATATTTGTTGGGTCATTACTTTGGAAAAACAGTCATTTGCTAGGAAATGATGTCTGCTACATAGATGTGCTGCTTCAGTGATAAAGAAATTCATTAAAATTGCTTTATTATGAACTTCTGTACAAGACAATCCAATGCACAATGTATGATAACATGATATTAGATTCAAATAGAAAATATATGTAATCAATATCCAGATTTATTGGAAATAGAAGTGTATTTTTTAATGTTATTGTGCTGGTCTATGTGAGCTATATTGTATGTCATTATAACTTTATAACTTTATTATATGTAACTATCTGGTGATAAATACACCAAATATTACTATAACCAATAACATATTCTTGCATCCTGGTACAATACTTTTACCACTTATTCTCCTGCTGTATGAATGTGGGCTCCCTGATGACAGAGGACACGCCAAGCAACATAATGGTGGGCATCCCCCACATTATAAAAATGGGCAAGTCGGCAGCAGCCCTGGTTCCTGAAGATAAGTAGATTCCCCTACATGATAGGACGAATTGATATCTTTTGGTTGAATACCACATATGGACAGCAGCCATGGTTCCCACACACTGGGTGAGATCTAAGCCATGATATATTCATTCAAAGCATTTTTTCTGCAACAATCAGAACGTGTGTGTGCGTGTGTGTTGCATTATTCTCTGGCATTTTTCTTCTTTTTGTATGCAATGTGAATGCCTCCATATTTCATTTATTACGTACAGTAGATCTTTTTGTTTACTGTGGTATTGAATTTATTCTGCTAGCTTGCAAACTTTTATTTTTCATTAAAAAAAATAATAGAGAGAGATTGTACTCATCTAGCTTGCATAATAGAGTGAATAACACTGTCAAGGGAATTTAATATTTCAAAATACAATCACAAATGTAATTCCAGAGAACTTCATTGCAACTTGAATCAATGTTTTGTTCTATATATTAAGATACATATAATGTATTCAGCATTTAGGGATTTATAGAGATTCTTGATTAGAGTCAATTATATATATGTATATAGTTATAATTATATATGTAGTTTTCAGAAACTTTTGAATAATTTCACCCCGCTTTTAGGCACAAAAGTGTCTTGTCTATAAATTTTTCCATTAATGGTATATTTTTCCATATTTATGTTAATCCGTATTGTTATTATTTTCATGCCTTTTGCAACATATAGGCATCAATGTTAATATGTTGCTAAACACAAATACACACACCAGTCAAGTCATAAGACTTGCTTTTCCCACAGAAATATCACTTAAACTGTGCTCTGGGTAGCCAGAATCCCTTGCAGTAGTGAGAGCACTGGTAAAGTGCTGAGGACATCCCAACCTCCCGCTAGGGGATGATGCTCCCTAGAGAAGAAACTCTGAACCTGTCTGTTCTGGAAGTTGGCCATCATGTCAATTTCTGGAAGACCCATCTGTGAACCAACCACTGAAAGGCCCATTTTGCTAGACACCATTCTCCTGGCAAGATTTTATGTCTGCTCAGAAGATAAATTGCACATATCCCCAGAAGGTGATTTTGTGTCCATTTCATGAGAGGAACCATGATACTCATCACCCTCGGACTGTGAGTACCTCCTTGGTGGTTCACGTATGCCACCACTGCAGTGTTGTCCACCTGTAGTTTCACCCAATGGTGTCGGATTCTTGACTTTATAATGGAAAATTTAGAGGGAGTATTGCGGATAAAAGTGTCTAAGGAAGTTTTTCAATAATTATCTGTGAGTTTGAGAGTATGCAAACCATAGTAGTGGAAGGTCCGGAAACACCGCTCAATTACACTAGAGTACAAAAGCAGAGTTTTACAGGAGAGACTGATAAAATAATACAAATGATTAAAACCAATCTTGGACCACAAAGTATATGGATAGTGTAGCGAACCACGGGTAACCCAACTGGTTACCTCCGCTAATTCCTTATCTCAGCCAGATTGAAACCATTAAAACTATAAGCATCCATTCCCCCAGTAACCTGACGAAACATAGTTCTGGGAGTCAACTGATTTTATTAAGGCCCCACACGGCTTGTATGCACAGACCCCTAAACATGGGGTCCCCAACACAACATTGCAGGGTTTTCCTTCCCAGGGTCCTTTGTGCCTGAGAGATAATTGTGTAAGAAAAACCATAATTCAATTATCTCTCAGGTACAGAAAAACCTATACAAAATATACAGTACCCCAAAAGTACCCCCAACATAACTAGGAACCCCCACAACAGTTACATCCCCGGATAGCTGTGATCTGAGAGTATCACTCAGATCTGTTTGGTAGAATTGGATTGCCACTGGGGTAAA